CCCAACACACACACACACACACACACCACCCAACACACATGCACACACCACCCAACACACACACACACACACCACCCAACACACACACACACACACCACCCAACACACACACACACACACACACATACACACACCACCAGGGGCTGCCGCAGCCCAGGCTCCCTCTGCCTGGAATTGACCTTGGGTTTGTCCGGGAACTCCTGGAATCTTGTAGCTTCAGTAGAATTGGCGGATTAATCTTTAGCTCCCGCACATTCCCCAAAGATCTCCTTCCTGGAAGTACGCGTGGCCTGGGAGCTCACGCTGGGCCGCAGCAGCCAGGCTGCCTGGCCGAGGGTGACCTAGCTCTCGGAAGCCCGAGCAAGTCCCAGTCCTAGAAACCCTGCGAGGACATTTTTATTATGGACGAGTTCTTCCTTTCTGTCTGTAACTTTATCTAAAAACCATAAAAGAAAGAAACAGGCTTAGAAGGGTTTCTAGTGTGACTGGGTTCTGCCGGCCAGTGCGCGGTGGCTCAAGCTGGGCTGAGAGTTTGCCTCCCGGCACCTTCCTGCCGCTGCCCCTGCTCTGCCTCCCTGCCCGAGGGGTGGGCATCGGAGCAGGCTGTCCCCAACCCCAGCAGCACCCTTGCAGGCCCAGTGCTGCCCCCAAGCCCTTCCCCAGAGGCCCAGGAATGGGAGCTGGGCCAGAGCCCAGGCCCTCGGGGAGGACTACAGGTGACAGGATGCTTTGGTCCAGGACAAAGGCCAAAGCGCTACCCTCCCGGACTCATCGGGGTGCAGTTAGTTAATTTCCGTCTAGCCGTCCTTACATTATTTGAGTGGAGGGGAAAACTACCAGAAATGGTTTTGAAGTTAAAATTTCCACTGGCCTCGGGCAAACAATTGTGGGTTGAATGAAAAGGGTGATAGTGGAGGGAGCAGCTAACTTTAAAGGAAAAGGCTGGCATGATGAGAGAGAAAGAGAGAGAGGAAGCGAGGGGTGGGTGAGGGGCCTGGCGTTGGCAAGGGGAGACTGGCTTTAGGTCTCCGAGGCTGGGAAGTTCCAGAGTAACCCTTGCCCATGTCAGATGGAGACCATGAGTCCTTAATCTCTGCTCTGTACACCTCCCAGTGCTCTCCGGGGCTGTAGTGAGAGGCGGGTGGGGAGTTTGTGACAGACATAGACAGGAGGCTTTGGCAGGTGTGCGGGGCCAGGCAGATAAGGACTCTGCTCAGTCACAGGGTAAAAATACGCCTCAGGAGGTGGCGGTCTTGGGGGAGGGAGGGACCCCTGTGGGGGTCTATCCTTTCTGTTGCTCCACTTGTGGCTGAGACAAGGCCACTCTGGTTGGGACCATGGGTGGGCTGCCCGGAGTTGGTTCGCTTGTGGGATGTCAGGTACCAGGTACCTGCATGCTGTGAGTTGGGTGTCTCTGGGCACAGTGCCCGGCAGAAACTCAGCCTCTGGGTCTGAGTATCCAGTGAGGTCAACAGGAGTTGTCCCGAGGCCAAGCCGGTCACCTGAGCACCGATGCTGGTCTCACTTGGCGCCTGCCTGCCGTCCCCTGGGGACCCCTGCTGGCACGGTGCTGTGGGGAGAGTGGGTGTTGGTGACTCACAATCCAGTCCCAGCCCTGCCACTAACTCCCACGAGGCTCCAGGCGAGTCACCACCTACACAGCGCGGGAGAGGAGACCCAACTCACAGGGCTGTGAAGACACCCATTTGTAAAGTGGCTGAGTGCTCTTGTGAGCCACAAAGCTGGGTTCCTAGCAGTGCTAGTCCCCCTGCCGGGTCCGGGAAGGTGAAAGCCCCTGCAGGAGCCCCAGCTCTCCTCGGAGGGCTGTCTCCTCCTGCTTTCTCTCCGGGCATCCACACACTGACTCGGGGAGTTTCCTGTGGGGACAGGAAGTGGGCACATGCAGTTGCAGCAATAGGGCTTCATAATTAGTAAGCTGCCCTGTGATGTGTGTTCTCATGGTCGCCATGAGGTTTGAAAGCCCATGAAGTGTGGGTTGCACCAGTGATAAAGGGAACCGCCTGTGGCTGAGGCAGGTGGGGACCTCGGAGGCAGGTGGGGACCTCGGAGGCAGGTGGGGACTCGGAGGCAGGTGGGGACCTCGGAGGCAGGTGGGGACCTCGGAGGCAGGTGGGACCTTGGAGGCAGGCCGAGGACTTTTGGCAGGTGACTCTGAGCCTGATGTCCTCATTAGTAAGACGGAGATAAGTGGCTGCCCATAAATGTGAGTTCCTCCTGGGATGCAGGTCGGGCTTGCAGGGGAGGAGCTGGCGTAGGACGGGATCTGAGGGAGTTGGGAGCCACGTGGGCTTGGAGTAGTGACATCTAGGTAGAAAGGGCTATGTGAACGCCAGGGTTGATTTTAATTACACAGTTGGGGGCCTGGCTGTCTGATGCCGACTTTATTGGCCCATCTGGTGCTCAGCCGGAGCCTGGCACCGGCAGGAGCCAGACTCATTAATTAGCATCTCTTAGCCCAGGATGTGTTGGTGGGTCTGGACCCGCAGGAGCCTGCGCACCACTGGCTGCACACATCTGGGCGGGCACAGCACGCCTGTCACTCACCTCCTTCCTCAGCTGTCCCTGATCCTTGTCTGAGGAGCCGCTGGGAGGCTTCCCACAGCCTTTCGACTGTTAACCCTCCTTGCAGTTCTGGGGCTGCCGGGAGCACCTTTCCTGAGGGGCCCTGCCAGCCCGAGCCGAGGAGCCCGCTTGAGAACCTTGGAGCAGGTGGAAGCAGTGCCACCTGGGAGGTACCCACCTCCTCAGAGACAAAGTGGCCCCAGGAAATGGTTTGCAGAGAGCTGTCCCTCAGACCAGAGTGAGCTCTGCATCAAACCAGACCCCTTCTCCTAGAAGATGATTTGAACAAAAGGTTCAGGCAAATTGTGCGCCTACATTGCGCCAGGCAGCATGCTAGGCGCTGGGGACCAGCCCAGAGCGCAGAATGGAGAGCCTGGTGTTCTTGCTCCTATGTAGCTGTGGCAGGGCCAAGGAGACGGTGCCCCCAGGCTGGCATCGCATCCTGTGACTGGGGTGTATTCTTCGAGGCCCACTGTGACACAGCGCTCCTGTAAGACTTCACTGCCACTCCCAACTTACAGAGAGAACTAAGTCCCGAGGGGTTATGGGAAGTGCCCAGCGTCATGGAGGGTGTCATGCTGCGTGCACGTCCCTGTGCTGGGTGGCAAGCTCTGCAGGTCAGGGTCCTTGTTCTCGGTGACCATTCATTGGGGCTGTGCCCTGAGCTCCATCACCACGAAGCCTTCTCCCAAGCCATTTGGCCTCCTGTGCAGCCTTTGTGTTGGGGATTGTGACGAGCTGCCCAGGTGCCTTGAACCGTGGCCGGCCTGGCTGTGGCCCTCCTCCATGGGTGGCTGTCCCTGGGGGTTTGACTCCTCACTGGGCTCTCGTGAGGCGGGCAGTGTGAGAGGCCCCAAGATGAATCACCTGGCAGGCGCTCTCATACCTGGAGCCTCAGGGTCCCTGCGTGCCATTCCCGCTGTCATTAGGTGGGGCGCCTGGACTTCATAATTAGTAACGTGTCCTTGCCATCTGATGACCAGTGCTGAGCCCTAGGGAGCCACCCTCACTCACTCCGTGTGTCTCTGTCCTTCCCAGGGCAGCGAGGTGCCAGGCCCCACCTTTGCTGATGGCGAGGTCCTCCCCAGGGAGCCCGGCTTCTTTCCTGAGGATGAGGAGGAGGCTATGACACTGGCCCCACCCGAGGGCCCCCCCGAGTCAGACATGGACAGCCCCATGGAGAGCACCCAGAGCCTGGAGGGGCCCGTCGGGAGCCCTGCGGAGGAGAAGGACGGGGGTCTCGGGGGCCTGCTCCTGCCCGAGGACAAGTGAGTGAAAGCTGTCTGCAACCCCATGCGTGACCCCTGGGCCTGGAGGTGGGTTCCCAGGGGGACCTCCCGGAAGCAAACGACATACACTCGGGGTTCCCATCCCAGGCATACGTTTCATGGGTGTTGTAAATAGCAAAACTTCCAAGCAACCTAAAGGCTTAACAGCAGGGCCAGTTCTAGAATTTTAGGCAACCGTGTAAAGTCAAGCTTCCCTATTTAATGATACGGGGTATCTGATCTCAATTAGTTTTTTAAAAAGGCAAGATACAGGATGTCAATGAGGTATGATATTAGTTTTATTTTAAAAAAATGTACTAGTATATAAAAATATTTATATATATAAATGCCTGGGAAAAATGATTCCAGAAAATTAGCAGTTCTTTCAGGATGAGATTATTAATGGCTTTAATTACCTCCCATCTACTGGGCTATATATTCTGTATTTTCTTTATTGCTCATGTGTTCTCATATCCAGAATTATTATTTTAAAATGACATTAGGACCTAGTGACTTCCCAATGGGGCAATGTCGTTTTTTAGTTGGTGCCAGCAGGGGGTCCCTCTCCTTCCAGCCCTCACTCTGTCCCTGGAGAGATGATACAGTGTTTGTGGGGTGATGGGCAGCAGCCGCCCTCATAGCCGAGGCCATGACAGTTGGGAGCTGGTATCCCATGTGTCAGGAGGAGGTAATGGTCACAGCTGACCCTGAGATTTGGAGAGGCGGGGAGGGGTACCTGTATCGATCGAACCATATGAAATTGTCCATTTTTAATAACTTTCAACTTTTAAAAAGCAATTTCATATGGTTTAACCTAATGTATTTCCTCAGCACAGGAGTTCTCAAACTTGGGGGCTCTGGGAGTTCTCGAGGGGCCTTGTGGAGTTGTTTATCCATGTGCTTCCTGTGACCAACCCAAGGACAGATGGTCACTGACTACAGACCTGTTGGCCTTTTGGCTAATCATTTGCCACTTGATTGTCTCCATTGATTTCTGGGACCATCAATCACCAGGAGGCAGCCAGCAGCAGGTGCCAAGAGTTTCAGTAAAATGTATAGGAGAAAGAAAGGAGGAGTATGATTAATTCAACCTGAGTTGCTGAGGAACCTGAGGGCAGACAGATAAGGAAATAAATACATCTGGGTGGAGGTACTGGAGACTTGATCTTTAACACCCTGTCATTAACCCTGGGAGTCTTAGATAGAACCTGGGGTTCCTCAGGGGCACAGTTTGAGAACCACTGCCTCAGCCCCTTACACACTTGTTTCAGGTTTCCGAGTGTGGAGGCTTGGGAGGTCAGAGAAACCCTAGCTTATGAGTAACAGTACCCAGGGAATACTGCATGCTGACTAACGGGAGGAAAGATCTTGGCAGGTGATGAGTTGTGCCTCCCTCTGTTCTTGGGTTAGGGACAGGGCTCCACCAGCCTGACACTGTACCCGCTACCCCACGGGTCACTGAGGTGGGGGGAGGGGGGCGCGCAGGGTTTCTGACCGTGTTTCTTGGCGTTAGGGCCAGCCGTGGGCAAACTACGGCCCGCGGGCCGGATCCGGCCCGTTTGAAATGAATAAAACTAAAAAAAAAAAAAGACCGTACCCTTTTATGTAATGATGTTTACTTTGAATTTATATTAGTTCACACAAACACTCCATCCATGCTTTTGTTCCGGCCCTCCGGTCCAGTTTAAGAACTCATTGTGGCCCTCAAGTCAAAAAGTTTGCCCACCCCTGGGTTAGGCTCTTTGGGACTAGAAATCCCCTCTGTAAACAGGGAGGAGCATCTCACCTGGTAGCCCATTGTTTTTTGTTTTAAAACTTCATTTCAATATTAAAGGAGTACAAGCCAATTAAATAGAACTTGGGAAAGTTGGGGAAGTGAGAATGGAGGGGAAATAACTAACTTTACTCATAGTCCCACCACCCAAAATCAAACTCTATTACCACTTAAATGTATTCATTTACAACTTTTCCTTATTCTGTATAGACGTTTATCATGCTCAATCTTACTATAGCTGGAATTTTATGTACAACTTTAATTAAAACCTAATATTAATTTTTCCACGTTATTGCCATTATTTTTAATAAACCTTTCAACAATGATTTGATAGACCATAATTTAATAAGCTAACTTACTGATATGTATTATAATTTAATATAAAGTGTGATGTAAAAAGAGGAAAAAAAAGAAAACAAAAAAGTATAATAATGTAAAGTAGCTGAATGTGGACCATTGGGTTATAAGCAATTTTTGCTGCAGGGTTTGACTATCTCTCAGGTAGAAACAGTTTCTATGGTGAGATATTCCCCTTGGATAAGGTCCCAAAAGTGTACTTAGCATATCACCAGGCACAAACTTAATCAGGCCCCTGGCATCTGTCGAACCAGTGGACCTCCTGGTAGGACTGGTAGCTTTCCGACCCCAGGCTGTGGCCTCATTAACGGGCAACCCTTCTCTCACACCAGGTCCCTGGGCCACACTCCATCCATGACGACTTCAGACCTCTCCACACACTCCACCACCTCGCTCATCAGCAACGAGGAGCAGTTTGAAGACTACGGGGAGGGAGACGACGTGGACTGTGCTCCCAGCAGCCCCTGCCCCGACGACGAGACCAGGACCAACGTCTACTCGGACCTGGGGTCTTCAGTGTCTTCCAGGTGGCCCCTCGGTCTGGAATGGCGTTTGGGGTCCAGGAAAAGTGGCAGAACCAACCCAGCCGCATCCCCGGGGGGTTCAGCAGGCAGAGTCCTGAGCTACATGGGTTCTGCTCCTGGGGGTTGAGGGGGTTGCATTTGCTCCTGATTGGGGGTCTGGAATTCCTTCTCTCTCCTTCCATCTTGGGGAAGAAATAGAATTAACCAACCTGGGAGTCTGCAGACTCGGGGGTCTTTGTTGTCTTGTTTTCTAGAACCTCATTGTTGAAGGGTTTTTCAAGGTGGCATACTTATACCTTCCACACGCCTGACTCATTGATTACTCTAACTCTAGCGCTCTCAGTTGCCTAATCTATGAAATGGATACAATTCATTGGCTGCTTCTATTTGAGAGTTTTGAAGGAGGGGAGACCTGGTGCTGTCCTCCCACTCTCCACCCCCCAACCACACACACACAAGGTTCCCGAGTATTGGGGAACCCAGTACAGTAAGCTCGGCAGGATGGGGTGCGCACCAGACTGGACAGCCGTTAAGAAGGGGTTGCCTTCTCTTTCATGAATCAGTGCGGGGCAGACGCCCCGGAAAATGCGGCACGCGTACAACAGCGACTTGCTGGATGTCTACTGCTCTCAGTGCTGCAAGAAAATCAACCTGCTGAATGACTTGGAAGCCCGACTGAAAAACCTGAAGGCCAACAGGTGAGGCCCGGGCCCAGCATGGGGTCAGGTGGCCGGGGGTGGGGGAGGTGGGGGCAGGAGGGGAAGTAGCAGGCAGGTGAGCGCACTCTCAGAATGGGGTTGATCCTCGGGGCCTGGGTTTTTTTGCAGCAGGAAAATCTGGGTGCTGCCTCTCAGGACCGAGCTGATCAGGGAAATCCCTGCGCTGGGCTGGGAAAAGCTTGGCTCACACTTCGGTGCCTTGCAGCCAGGGCGCAAGGGGCAGCCCAGAGCCCCGCTGTTCAGTGACCATGTCTCCCCTCTCTCTTTCTCTGTAGCCCCAACCGGAAGATCTCCAGCACGGCTTTTGGACGGTAAGCCCCCTTCATCCCCCCACCCCAAGGGAGGACAGGTGGAATGCTGTCCCTGCTGCCAGGGAGGCCAGCTCCATGCCAGCAGCCCCAACCCAGGCGGTGCCCTGCACCCTGTGTGGCTGAATGAGCAGGGAGAACACGGCGTGCCAGGCAGCGCAGGCAGAGCCACCGGAGGACACACTCCTGAGAAAGAAGGGCCAGCCCCCTCCCCATCTCCATGCCTTGTCCTCTCTGGCAGAGTCGGCATCTGCAAGGCCTCAGCTGCCTCAGCCTCAGGCAGCACAGCGCCCCTCGCTGTCAGTGCCTGTCCTGTGCTCTGAGCGGCCCTGGGTTTCCTGCTGGCAGAGGTGGTGGCTTCGCTCCAGGTTAGATCCTGCGGAGCTGACTTCCTGGGACCGCCAGGACCCGCTCTGGTTCTCCTACAAACTGGCCCCGGCTCTGCACTCGGGGCTCTGGGAGCTGCCAGCGAGCGCCCAGGCTCCGGCCCAGGAGCCAGGGTGAGACGGCCTCTTGGTGGGGACCCTGGCTGCTGCCTGACAGTGGGAAGGGGGAGCCCTGGGGCGTGGAGCTGGGATTTGCCTCAGGCAAGAGCTACATCTGCCTGCTTCCAGGATTCCAGTCTCACCCACCACACACTGCCAGCAGTCCGGGTGGTCTTCCTTTGCCCTCCCCCCGGGGCCCAGAGATATAGCAGGAGCAGCTTGGTGAGGACACTGGGTCCTGCTTCCTGGTGACCTCTGGGGCCAGTCCTTCTGCTGGGACCGTGGAGCCAGGCTGTGGGGGTCGGGGCTTATCTACCAGCTCTGGTCACTTGGCAGCTACTGGGTAGAACCCGTGTGTAGAAGGGTTCAGACGCAGCAGGAAAGAGCTGGTATGTATTGGCCGCGTATACGGGGCTCTGAGGGGCATAGCAGCCGCCTGCCATCCTCTGAGCTGGATGACCTCAGGAGCTCAGAGGTCAGGCAACTCTCCCCTGGCTGGGTGAGGCCAGCCTCCTTAGAGGGGGTTCTGGCGCACACATCCCTGGGGTACTGGGTGCCTCAGTCTGGACCTCAGTCCCCAGAGACCCTCTGCATCCAGACGCGCCTCCCTCCACCCCTGCAGGCAGCTCATGCACAGCAGCAACTTCAGCAGCAGCAACGGCAGCACCGAGGACCTGTTCCGGGACAGCATTGACTCCTGTGACAACGACATCACGGAGAAGGTGGGCCCTGCTCCCTGGGGGCAGCAGGCAGCACCCCGGGATGCTCTCTGGGAGCTTGGGAGACCCTGTACCTCCTGATCACGTGGGCACATCCATCCCCACCTCATCCTCACTCCCACCAAACATGACTGCCCTTCATACAGTCAGCTGGAGGGCCTGGCCTTCGGTCCCGTGGTTTCTAGGTTCTCAGTCCTGGGGCCTCAGAGGTTTTATCCACCCCCACCTCTGCCCCCTATTGTAGGTGAGCTTCCTGGAAAAAAAGGTGACGGAACTGGAGAATGACAGCCTGACCAATGGGGACCTGAAGAGCAAGCTGAAGCAGGAGAACACCCAGCTGGTGCACAGGTCAGGCTGTGGCCTTGGCTCGGGGGCGCTGGCTGTGACTTAGGAACGGAGGGCTGTCCCTGTTGCTAAGTCCCCAAGAGAAGCTAGGGGAGCTCTCAGCTCTGCGGGTCTGAGACGAATCAGCCCTTGCTCCCTGGCTCTGCCCATGCAGGGTGCCCAGGAGGACAGGTCTTTGGGGACAGGGAGACAAGTAGGAGCCTGACTTTGACCCCCCAGGTCTGCAGCCCCAGGGCATGTCTGAGGCAGGAGCTGGGATCCACGCTCCTGTGTGTGTCCTATAAAGATGAGAGCCTGGCCTCCCTTCCTGGGGACCAGCTCTGCGCAGGGAGAGACTGGTGTGAGTTGGGGGCCCACACCTGCTGCTGGTGGGGAAAGTCCAGCATTGCTCTTCTCACCTCCAATGGAGGCCCGCTGAACATGGCGTTCCCCAGTGCTGACAGAGTACGTGGGAGTGGGGGTGCTGCACTTGCTCCTGATTGGGGGTCTGGAATTCCTCAGCGCACAGAGCATTTAGTTATCTTCCCAGGACAGCCTGAAACTTGTTAAACGGATCCCCGCCCAGGCCCTGATCCTCAGCCTTGTACTCCCCTCCCAGAAGGTCAGTCTCATAGAGGGACTCTTGCCAGTGACATGTGCCCCAGGTGGAGGGTCCGCTGAGGCCCCCGGGACTGGGGTTATAACACCCATAGTGGGGCCTGGCCCTGTCCCAGGTCTGCCATGCTCAGGCCACTAGCCAGGAGTCAGGTGCCCAAAAGCTGAATTATTGACTAAGGGGTCCTGGCAGGAAGGGAGAGAGGGAAAGGAGGAGAGGCCTGAGGGCTGTTTCGTTCAGCTGTGGCGGGGCCCGCCGTCCCTCCCTCTGTCTGCCCGGGAATCCCACCTTCTCAGGCACAGCCTCGCTCCCCTCTAGACCCACTGCCAGGCCTGCGCCTCCAGGGCATGCCCGGCTGACACACCTCTCCTTGGGTGCCATAGTGTCCCTAACTCATCTGTCAGCAAAGCTGTTGGCCCCAGGCCTGACAAACAAGCCTCCACCTCCCACAGGAGGGGCGTTAGTGACTTGGGGTCCAGGGCTCCCCGTGGCTGCAACCTGGGTGGGGTGAGAAGACACAGGCCATGGAAGCTGGCCCTGGACTGGAGTCCGCCCCTCCACAGGGTGCACGAGCTGGAAGAGATGGTGAAGGATCAGGAGACGACGGCCGAGCAGGCCCTGGAGGAGGAGGCGCGGCGACACCGAGAGGCTTACAGCAAGCTGGAGAGGGAGCGGAGCACGGAGATCGAGCTGCTGCACACCAGGTGGGCCTTTCCCCAGAGCCGGCTGCCTCCTGACCCCCTCTCCCCCCACGCTCCTGGCACAGCCTGTGGGGCAGTGCTGCCGTCCCCATTTTAAAGACGGGAAAGCAGCCAGAGGAGAGGCCTTGTGTCCTAGCAGTTCTACTTTTGATACCTAAACACGTGTCATGTTCTCTAGGCGTGTCAAAGAGTGTTCATAGCAGAATTGTTCACAGCAGGTAAAACTGGAAACAACACATGTCTGGGTAAAAAGCCCCCAGAGGATGGGTAAAAAGCCCCCAAACCGGTATTGTTGCCTGATGCCTGGGCTGAGACTAATGTCCAGGCTTGGAGCTCCCCCTGCTGTCAGATTCTTCACTCACCCTGGCCCACAAGCCCCGGGAAATGGAAAAGCTGGGCTCCGGTAGAGACGTTAGAACCCGAGGCAGCAGGGAGAGGGGTACTGACCTGGGACTCGGGGCTGGTCACCCATCAGTTCCATGAGCTGGAACGCACCATGTCACTTCCCTGGGCCTCAGTTCCCTCACCTGTCATCCCTCCCTCCCTGCCTGAGGGTGGGTGAGCTGATGTACACCAGAACACTGCTAATGAGTGAGGGCTGTGCCCATGTCCCGGTTCAGGGAGGCCTCCTGGGCCCTGGCAGAGCGCACAGCTGCCCCCACACTCAGTCCCCAGTGTCCGGGCTGAGCCTTCTTGGTGTCTGCTAGGCCACCTTGGGGGGAGGGTGCGTTGGGAGGTGGGCTCCCACCTTGGCCCTCAGGGCTGGCAGCAGGTGCTTCCCCCCCTGCGGAGGTCAGGCAGGGCCAAAGGGCACTAGTGCACTTGGTGCCCCTCCACCCGTCGGCGAGACCTCCTAACTCCCCTGTGCCTGAGACCCGCTTTGTTAGCTTTACCACCAGGGGTTCACTCATGTCTCGAAGCTGCTGTTTTGCATCTGTTTCTGGAGGCTGGTCCCTCATTAAGTGGCACTGTTTTCTGTCTGCTCTGACAGCTGGCCAGGGGGGCTGGCCTGAGAGGTGTCTGGGAACAGGTAGTGGAAGAGGACAGTGAGTGTGGGCCAAAGGCCAAACCACAGAAAGCCAGCCCTCTTGCGAACTGTCTCCTAACTCATGCCCCTTGCACAACTCCAGGGGGCGCTGTTCATATAGAATATGCAGACTGTGCTCCCAGAGTCATGCGGGGTGCTTTGTTCCTCACATCCGCCACCATCTCGAGTTCCCCATGAGGTGGCCTCGTCAGAGTGCATGTCTGAATTTCTTTCTGGCCTGGCCTGTGGGCCTCTCCTGGAGCAGGTGCGGGAGGCAACCAATCAATGTCTCTCTCATATCAATGCTTTTCTCTCTCTCTCTCTCTTTACCCTTCCCATACACTCTCTATGGAAAAATCAGTGGGAAAAATATCTCCGGGTGAGGATTAAAAAGAAACACCACCACCTACCTGGGCACCCGGGCTGTCTTTTCATGGGGTCGCAGCAGGACAGCCCCTGGTGAATGCTAACGTAGAGGATTATGATTATTGGAACTAATTCCTGTGGATGTCAGGTAGCTGTAGTGAGCTCTCAGAAGGAAGAGCCCTGGTAAGATGCTGCAGGGAGAACAGAAAACAAATACGGTCATTGCCTTCAAATGGCAGATTCCAGCAGGAGGGCCCTGTCACAGACAATCACAGGAAGACTTCCTCTTAGGAGAAAAGCATGCCCCCTCGTTAGTGTCAGGCCGTAAGGGCGCATGTGAAAAGAATCTTAACGTTCTTATTCACTGACGAGTGAATCACGAAAAATATAAAAATAATTCAGTGTCTTTAACATTTTTCCTTGGATGACAGGAAGCGCAAGGCTGTGTTATCATTTGAAATAATTATTTATATTCTCTCTCTTGCTTTCTGGCACCTTTCCTCCTGCGGGAGAGAGATTGCTGCAGATTGTCTGACATCTTGGTCCTTCTCTCCTCAGGGTGCAGCAGTTAGAGGAGGAAAACACAGAGCTCAGGACCACGGTGACTCGGCTCAAGTCGCAAACAGAGAAACTGGACGAGGTGAGCAGCAGGTGCAGCACCTCCCAGGCCTGGACCTGGAGCCAAATGCACAGACAGGCAGCGTGGCCATGCGAGGCCTTTAGTTTCTGAAATTCTAATAAAATTGCCCTAGAAAAAACAGGCAGTAAGATATGAACAATAAATTGTCTTCCTATATTTCTGATTTTCTGCAGTGAATATATTTCCTTATACAATAAAACGGAGAAAAGGGTTACTTTCTAAACGCTCGGGCTGCCACCTTCTAGCCGTTTCATCTGGCGTCACTGAAGGCCGGCAGGGGCCTCGGTGTGTCCGGCGGTTCTAGAGTCCTAGGGACTGGATGTTTCTGTAGCGGGACTCGGCGGGCTCTGTCTCGGGGGTGGTCTGGTTGCCCGAGGTGGCTGACACGGATCCTCAGGGAAGCCCCGGGGCACAGTGAGCCCCTCTGGGAACCTTCCTCACTCACCTGGTTTTCCCGGCCCCAGGAGCGGCAGCGTATGTCCGACCGGCTGGAGGACACCAGCCTGCGGCTCAAGGATGAGATGGACCTGTACAAGCGCATGATGGACAAGCTGCGGCAGAACCGCCTCGAGTTCCAGAAGGAGCGGGAGGCCACGCAGGAGGTGGGTCCCGGGCCAGAGGGCTCCAGGTTCCCTCCTTTGCCCTGCTCCCACCAACGGCCTCTCTCCCACGCAGCTCATCGAGGACTTGCGGAAGGAGCTGGAGCACCTGCAGATGTACAAGCTGGACTGCGAGCGGCCAGGCAGGGGCCGCAGCGCATCCTCCGGCCTGGGCGAGTTCAACGCCAGGGCCCGCGAGGTGGAGCTGGAGCATGAGATCAAGCGACTCAAGCAGGTGCGCCCTTGGGAGCCTCAGTGCGGCGGGATCAGGTGTCCAGGGCCCTGGGGGTGGGTTCCCACACACTCCTGCCTGCTCCACTCAACAACCTGGCTGTCAGGGCTGCTCACCCTCACCTCTCAGCTCAGGCAAGGCAGCCATGGCTGAGGGAGGTTTTCAGGGCTTTCCTTGGGATCCATAAAAAGAAATAGACACCACTCTTCTGTCCTGGGCACGTGGGGTGGGGAATGAGACTCCCCCCGGCTGAATATTAGTGCCTCCCTGTGTGGGGTCTCCCGGCAGAGCCATCTCATAAGGTTTCTGGGAGCACTCCTATAATGGAGACCCGTCAGGGGTCGGGGACGAGGGACCAGGAGGGGCAGTGACCAAGTGAGGGAGTGATGGCTGCTGCAGCCCCATCCTTAGCCCGGCTAGGGTGGGAGAGCGCCATACAAATTATACCGGAGTTGGCTCCACGGCAGCTGATGCTGGTGCTCACCCTCCCTCGGCAGTACTAAACCCAGCTCTTCTCATCCACCAGGGGGCGCCCGGGGTCGCAGGTGTGAGTCCTTAGAAGCCTTAGGCAAAAGCTAGAGCATGGGGCTGGTGAACGGGTCTGGGCAGGGCATGGGCAGGCAGGGTCTGGGGAGCGAGGATGCGCCTGGAGAGAGCTCCCAGAGCAGGACTCCTGAGCCCGGCTGCAGGAGGAGCTGAGGAGAGAGGCCACTGCCAGCCCAGACACCCCAGGGCATCGCTTTTCCTCCCCGAGGGGCCAGCATTGGAGGAGCCATGGGTGGGCAGTGTCCCCACACAGGGCCTCGGGGGCTCCATTCTGGCTCATGCACCCCCAGGGAGGAAGGGGTGACCTGAAACCAGGCTCCCCGAGCAGGGCTGTGACTTCTAAGAACCCCTTGACCTCCCAGGACCCAGCCCTTTCCCCCCACCCAAGCCTGGCAGCGGCCACATCATCTATGGGGTCCTGACATGACACCCGCCTGCGGGGAGGGTACTGGTGGGAGTCAGGTGACAGTGGATGCAGACAGGTGGGTTCTGGATGCTTCCGGGAGCTGATCGTGCCTTCGTCCTCCTCACAGGAGAATCATAAGCTGAGGGATCAGAATGACGACTTGAATGGGCAGATCTTGAGCCTCAGCCTCTACGAAGCAAAGAACCTCTTTGCCACCCAGACCAAAGCACAGTCCTTGGCTTCGGAAATCGACACGGCCTCGCGCGATGAGGTAGCGTGCCCGTTCACTCCTGCTCTCACTTCGGGGCCTGGTCCTCCTCTAGCCCTGCCCCATCCCCACCTGTTGCAACGTCGAGCCCCAGGCTGCCCAGAGCAGGGAAAGCAGACCAGGCCTGGCCCCGGGGAGGCCCCATCTGCAACGACCCTGAGTGAGGGCAGAGCTGCAGGAGGGTTTCATCAGCTCTGATTTCCCGAAGATGGTGGGAGGAGCTCCTGTTTGGAGCTTGAGTCTTAGCTCAGCCACAAATGTGCTGAAATGGCCAGTTGATTTCATTAACATGTAGCCCAGGGGGTCTGTAACTCCCCTCCTCCAAGCCACTTGTGGAGCACCTGCTGGCAGTATGCCCTCACTTCATCTTCTGACAACTCGGGGGCTGTCTGAACAGACTGGGAGGCCAGGACACAGGATCACTGAGCCTGTGGAGGGGGAGGGACACAAAGCCCCCTCTTCCTGCCCCACGGGGGTATGGTTATAAAAGCTCTCTCTCCAAATACTCCGGTTACATTTAAACATGAATCTAAGACAGTCACTGAACCCCTTACCCTGTGCTGGGACCCCTGGCCTCAGAGAGCTCCCAGGTGAGCCGGGGAGATGCAGCGTTTCAGTGACATCCCAAAGGACTGTCAGGAATGGACCTGGAGAGGGGCAGTGGCAGGGCCAAGAGTGGCAAGGGGGCCATTCCAGGCTGAAGAAACAGCCTTACAAGTCTTAGGGCCCTGGAGTTTTGGGTGTCCGTCTTGATTATAAATGCCTTTGGCCAGTGTTCTCAGCTTTTACCAAAAACTTACCCATACCTGGGCCCCTCCACAGACCAGTCAAATCAGGGTCTGGGGCTGGGCCTGGGCATCTGCATGGTTCCCTCTCCTTGGGTGTGAGTCGAGCCGGGCTTTAGACTCGTGTCCTGGCACCGAGTGCTGAGGTTGGTCTTGGGGCTGCCTTGCCTGGGTCTCCTGAGCTCTGTCCTTGGGCACTGGCTCCCTGTGAGCCCGGGCACCTGGCTCCGCCCAGGCCGGCCTCTGACCGCCTCTCCCATTACCATCAGCTTATGGAAGCCCTCAAGGAGCAGGAGGAGATCAACTTCCGGCTGCGGCAGTACATGGACAAGATCATCCTCGCCATCCTGGACCATAACCCCTCCATCCTCGAGATCAAACACTGAGACGGGGGCTGGCTGCAGAGCGGCCTCGGGACCCCGGGACCCCGGGACCCCAGGACCCCAGGACCGAAGGGCAGACCCTGCCTGAGGATGCGGCCCCAGCCGGGCCCCCCCCACACACTGAAAATGTATCCCTGGCCACCATGTAATGTGTACTGGTGTGGACGCTGAGCACACAGCGAGGGGTGAGCGTGGGGCCGTGGCTGGGGGTGACTCGGCGCCGTTAGCTGTCCATGCACTTTGTGGTCCCTTTGCAGGGGCAGAGCGTCCTGGAGGTTTCGGGGGGCAAGGTCTGCAATCAGGAGTGACTGTAATAACAAGAACTGGAAGCTTGTGTTGCAGATACTGGATAAAATGATTCTACCTCTGGGGGTGAGGATTAAATACTCTAGGGAGACAGCTCTTTCTCCCACCCATGCCTTCTGGGAGCAGGAGCAAAGTTATGACCTTTCCTGGGAGTTCAGCTGTCCAGCAGCGGTGTCCTCGCCAGCCTCTGTAGCCACCTTTGAAGTCCAGGTGCTGGAGCTCAGAGAGGAGGAAGTGGCGTTTAGGGGGACATGAGGAGGGGCCCCCACCAGCCCCCTCCCCGGCCGGCAGCCCCTGCGATGCTTGTGCGCCGTGTGTCCAAAGGACTCGGGCTTGCTGCCGAGCCACCTTCATTCTGAGAAGCCTCGTGTTTTTAGCACCCTCCGTGCCCCTCCCATCCCTGCTGACCTACCTCCCTTCCTGTTTTGTTTTGTTTTTGAGACCATGAAAAATAAGCAGCGTTCACTTGGCTGTAACGTGCAGGGATTAAAGGAGGGAGAAGGAGGCTGAGGGACGGGGGTGTTTCAGGCACGTGTTGGCATCGGGCAACCAAAGACGTGGTTTTCGGGGAGGAGCACGCTCGCCTCCCCACCAGGTTCCTTCCGCCGGCTGCATCTGGAAAGAGAAGCCAGGATGGACCGTCAGCCGCTTCTGGGGCTGGCAGTGGACCTTGCTCACCACCCTGCGTTCTGCGCAGCCTGGTGACAGCAGCCGCGGGCGCGGGTGTTCAGAGCCAGGCCTGTGGGCTGGGCTCAGCTGGGCAGGGAGACCCCGGCATCCCAACTTTTAGGAACACACCTGCGTTCGGTCCTCAGCCAGTGGGAAACGAATGCTGTCCTGGTGGGAGACACAGTTGGGGAAGTTTCAGGGAAACCTTAGTCGTCCGTCCTCGGGGCACGTGTGGGAGTTCACACACATTTTCAATGTGATCTTTTGTTGGGGCAGCTGGGAGTAGATAGGGTACTTTTCCTCTGAGTTGTCCCAGTGGTTCTCCATTTTATATGGCCGATTCGTTTCCTCAATCCAAATATATAAACATGGATGGTCTTCATTTCCCCCCCGAAGTTTGCTTTCGTTAGCACTTCTAGTGTACAGGGAAAGTTTGGGCATGTTGTGGAGGGCGTGGGGGGGAGTATGCCGAGAAGGTAGGGTAGTGGCGGGTGAAGAGGGCCCCTGGGGACTTGGGGGTTCCCTGCTCACAGAGGTAGGCTGCGGCCACGACCCACCTTCTTTCCAGTCCTGTCAGCTTTTGCTTTGGTTGGATTGTGTGATTTCTTTTCAAGAATATGTGTGGGGTTTGTTTCAAGCGGCAAATAACGGGACTGCGTTGGCTTGATCTAGGAGTTTGGGGCCCCCCACACCAGGAAAACCAGGGCAGGAGTCCGTCCTCCGGAGCTTCTCAACCCCTTGGGACACTGGTCTCCTCGGGCTCCGCTGAGGGTCTGAGCAGTGGCTCTGAGAAGTGGCCGTGGAAGGAAAGCATAGGGAGCCGGTCTCTCAAGAATTTGCTAATAGGACGGAGCGCCATGAATGAAAGGAAAGGAACGATAAACTTGGCCTGGCTTTGGTCTGGGTTTTACTTGGGAAGGAGTCCCGCAGAGATGGTGGGGCTTGCCCCAGGGATGAGCGTTTTATGTGTAAAACTGTACAAGCTCCTTAGCTGCAGGGAGGTGGGAGGCTGCCCTGCCTGAGTTGCAGTCGCAGTGTGGGAAGGGATTTTGCCTGGGGAAAGGGGCGGGAAAAGCGGTCAGCCCGCAGCGTTCTGCGCCTCCTCCTGCAGGGGGCGCCACAGGCACACTCCCCGAGGAAGCCCCGCGTCTGCAAGGCCCTCAGGACCTGGTGCAGGGGCGTGGGGCCTCTGGACGAGGGCGGACTTTAACACGAGGCTGAAGTCCATGTAACACACACCTCAAGTTACACCCAGCCTCTGACATCAGCCAGAATACCTCTTAGGAAACCTCGTCTGTCCCATTGGCTTTTTCAGATGACACTTTAGAAAAGCTCTTCTGTGCTTGAAAGCTAGCCTGAGGAGGGCGGGTGCCTCGGGGTCCCAGCCCCCCAACCCCGCAGGTCCCAGAGCTGCACTGACCTGGGTCTGCCCCGTTCCTGTGCTGCCTCCTCCCTCGTGTGTGCTCAGGTTGAGGGTCCTGCCCTGCTCGCTCAGTCCTGGTGAACAGTATCCAGGATGCCCAGTGAAATTTGAATTTCAGGTAAACGACCTAATTTTTAGTAGAAGTCTATTCCACACAATAGTTGGCACATAATTAAAATGGAGAGATTTTTGAAATTCTGATCACAGGCCCAAATCCCTAGAGGTTCTGATTTCATGGGTGTGGGTGTGGCCCAGGCTTCGGACGTTTAAAATTCCCCAGGTGATTGTGATTTGCCTGGGTGGCCTGTGTGGGTTTTGGTTTTGGTTTTGGTTCTTGCTAAACCCAGGTAGGAACCAGCACTACCTAGAGCAGCGGTCACCAACCTTTCGGACCTCACGGACCACCATTGTCCGCGGACGACTGGCTGGTGACCGCTGCCCTAGAGGGGCTTCTGCAGAGACGCCCACTTTATATGACACTGGCCTGTCCTTGCACTCAACTCAAAGCCAGACAGGACTCACGGAGCCGGCACGTTAGTTTTATCTACAGAATCTAATAGAACGGAAGCCCCTTCTGTTAGATTCTGTGGGAAGGTATAAGGAATAAAGTTCTAGTACAAAAAAATTTTAACTTTGACGTGGCCAGAGTTAGACAAGATGTTTTATTTTAAATGTGTTAGATCCTTGCCGAATTGTAAGAGGGACCTTTCTTTAGCTTGACTTGACTTCTGACCTGTTAAAAACACAAAGCCTGAGACGAGAACCTTCCCAGGCCCTTGGACCTGAAAGGGTGGTTCTCTGCTCTGGCTGGACATTGGCATCGCCTGGGGGGATTTTTAAAATTCTGCTGACTGGGCTGACAAGTTGGGGTTTAATTGTCCTGGGTATGGCCCAGGCGTCTAGATGTTGGAAGGGCTCCCCGGGTTTTGCTAATGTGCAGCCCGGGGACTGGGGGCTGGGGCCTGTCCTGGAAGGTTGCTGGCCAGGGTCAGGGAACACGGGAGGAAGTGGCTGTTGGGCTTCTTAATCCAGGTGTTAGATGACAGGCAGTCTCCTGCTGGGCGGGTGGTGGGTTTTCCTAAGGTGACTTCCGATGGCAGGAAGTTAGCAGACCCCTTGACCCCAGAATGCCAGGCCAGAAGCCTTCAGGAGCTGGCGAATCCACCTGTTCTCGCCAGCCTGTGGGTTAGCCATCTTGAGTGGGCAGGTCTGCTTGGTGCCCGCAGTCAGTGGGTGGCAGGAGTGGGGATGGAGGAGGAGGAGCAGGACAGCCTGGCAGGGAGCCGACAAGCAGCCTCAAACAGTGGGCTTTGCCTCGGGTCGGTGTCCCCTGGGTGGGTAAGGGTTGCCCCAGCTCCTCCCTGAGTAACCAAACCAACACCCGCCCACAATCAGGAGGCTCCAGGTGCTGTGACACCCGGGAGTCTGATTCCTGGCCCAGTCAGGAGGGCACAGTGTGGGCGCTTTTGTTACAATGAGCGACAGAGGCCTCCCAGGACTCCCGGGGCCGTGGGTCAGGGAGAAATGAGCCCTCTTTTTGTGCTCTGTGGGGGTCTGTTTACTAGTAATGAATTAGCAAATTTAACCCTAAAAGCTAATGTAGATGTGGTTGGAAACGGGAAGTTTTTGGATGGTCACCATTCCAAGGAAATGACTTAGTTGTCCCCGCAGATCTGCACCTGAGGTGGGTGTTAGATTGAGGAGAGGGCCGTTCCCTGCTGTCATCTCCAGCCTTTCTTCCTTTGGGACTAGGCAGCCCCTCTAGGGCTGTGATTCAGGCTGGGAGACAGGCACGCTGCTGCGGGGCCTCAGGCTAGGGGGCCAGGCCCTCCCCGTCACTCTGAGCAAGTCCCTCCCCTTCCCTGACCCTGGGACCTCCGGGTCCTGCCCTCCTGCTCTGTGTGTGCATGAGAGGGCGGGGGGCAGGGGGAGCAGGACCACGGCTGCCCCCCTCATGGCAGGGCAACTCCAAGGCTGCCCACCTGGGAAAATAGACCACTTTCTAGAAAGTTGTTTTTAAAAGCGTAAACCCTGGTGAAGTCGATGCGCCATGATTTTGTTGCTCCGACCTTGTGCTTCTCTTCCCGTTGTGACTGTAGCGGGGGATGTCTGCCCAAGCCCCCCAGGAGGGGTGGCTGGGAGTGGCACCCCAGGGCCACCCCCGCAGGATCTAAGTGCTGTTGTCCCAGGAGCCCGAGCCTCCTGCTGGGACCCGCTGTTCTGTGCTGCACAGGCTGCGTTTTGTCTGCATGGTTTGGGGTCATTGTCCTTGTGCCTTTTTCTTCCCCGTCACCCCTGTACAGGACTTTCCACGTTGCCACTGCCCCCTTTTCTACATCCTCGCGTTGCCCCTGGCCCTTCCCGAGCCCTGTAAATGTGTACATAGTGTTGCACTTCGTGTCCGCGTGCCTCCGCCACGTCCGGCCTGCTCCCCGTGTCCCAGCTCGCCCGCCGCGGGGACCAGGCTCCACTGCCCCTTCGTCACCCAGCCGTGCAGACGTGGTCACTTGTACAGAATTTTCCATGATGGTCTTAAGCTTGGGGGGCTCGGGCCCACTTAGTCCCTCGTCTAGCCTGCTGCTAGTGTAGAAGCCTCGCACATCAGAAAGGGTGGCTTTGTGTAAACTTCTCCCACAAACCTCTCCTGCGTTGGCGTCAATATTTATAGAAAGTAGAGCGCACCTTCCCAGCCTGGGGCTTCAGCCCGGCAGGGACGTTCCGGGTCTGCCAGCTCCGTGGGCCCCTCGGAGATGCACCCCCGCCCCCGGGGAAGCCGCTGCCATCTGGTGTCTAGATCAGCTGCGGACAGGTGGGCAGAGGGAAGAGGCTTCTCGCTGCTGCCCCGCCTGCCGTTAACAACTGCCAAGCTCTCCCTCATCTGCTGAAGGTGCTCAGACCCGGGTGCCATTAAATCCCCCACTGACATCGGACCGAGGTCAGACCGGGCGAGGCTGCAGACTCTCGCAGCCGGCTGGCTCCCTTCACCCCAGCTCTCTCAGCTGGGCCTCCTGGGGGGAAGGGGACGGGGAGTTCCAATGGAATGAGTTGCACGTGTGGCCTCAGGTCCAAGGGTTGGTTGATGGCTTTGCCTCTGTGGGTTCCACCTGAGTCTGTAGCCCCAGGAGCCTCCATCTGGAAGCGGGCTTAGCTCTCAGCCCTCGGGCTCAGTGAGACCCCGCCTCCAGGCCCCAGGGTGGGGGAGAGTGGGGTGAGGCCCCAAGGCTGTGAGCCAGGGTCCCGAGCTCTCCACCCCCAGCCTGCTTCCAGCCCAAAAGAAGCAGGCTCTCAGAGGCGGGCTCCCTCGGGAACTAATGTACAGACTGAGGTGTAAATAAACAGTTTGCTTTTCTTGCCTGACTTAATGGTGAGTTTCTGTGGTGGAGGAGGGAGGGAGGAAGGCGGGGGGCTGGTCCCAGGGCTCCCGGAGATAGACCATCTCCCTACAGAGAGCAGGCCTCACCCCGCGTGCCAGGTGCTGGTGCTGACCTGCAGGGGCCGGGGGTCTCCCTGCAGACTCCTGCTGTAGCCGCCGGCCCCGGGAGATGCGTGTGGATCCCAGAGCTGCTCTAACACCACCAGCCCAGCCCCAGGGCTGAGTTTGAAAAGCTTGTCTTCGCTGCAACCACGTTCCCTCTCCCAGCCAGGGCCTCCCAGGGTCTCAGCTCATCCACTTTCCTCCAGGCCAGCCACCGTGACCCCTGGGCACAGGCCAAGTCCCCCACTCAGCCTGGTTTCCCACTGCCCTGCCAGCGCCGGGCCTGCCAAGCCCCAGTGTGGAGGTGGCTCCAGGGTAGGTGGCCAGACCCCCAGATTTCTACCCTCCTTGTTTATCCCTCCCTCGTTATTATAGGGTTCCAGGTGTCAAAGGGGTTCATAGGTCACCCTGCTGCTGGAGATGAATCTGCCCTCCCTGTTGGGCAGGCAAGACCAGACACCTGCACTTCCCCAGGAAGGCCCCGTGCCACGGGTCTGCCAGCGCAGGCGGGCGGCTCCCTACCCACTGGCTTCCCATGGCCTCCTGGGCTCGGGGAAGTCACCTCCCAACACTGGGGGTTGTGTTCTCTCGGACCTTATTCCCTCCATCCTAACGTGTCCTCTTTCCTTTCCAGCTAGGGTTGCCAGATTTTGCAAATAAAAATACAAGAGATCCAGTTAAATTTGAATTTCAGAAATAAGTTGTTTAGTTTAAGTATGTCCATGCAACACTAAAACGTTACTCGGTGCAGACCTGAAATTTGAATTTAGCTGGGCACTTTTTAAAACTGGCAGTCCTATACCCACCCTCCCAGGGCCTCTGCTGCCAGTCAGGTGCCTCCAGTTCCTGAGTGTTGCCCTGCACCCCAGTTCCTTCTTACTTTGACACTATTTTTTTTAAATGTTTTTATTGATTTCCGAGAGAGAATGGGAGCAGGAGCTGGAAACATCAATGATGAGAGAGAATCATCCCTTGGCTGCCTCCTGCACGCCCCCTACTGGGGATCGAGACCGCAACAAGGGCATGTGCCTTGACCAACCATAACCTTCTAGACCTAGTTCATAGGTCGATGCTCAATCATGGAGCCACACCAGCCGGGCGCCACCACTTGCAGTGGTTCTCAACCTTCCTAGTGCCGCGACCCTTTAATACAGTTCCTCATGTTGTGGTGACCCCAACCATAAAATTATTTTCGTTGCTACTTCATAACTAATTTTGCTACTGTTATGAATTGTAATGTAAATATCTGATATGCTATATATGTTTTCCGATGGTCGCGACCCACAGTGGTTCTCAACCTTGGATGCACGTTAGAATCACCTGGGAATCTTTTTAAAATCCTGATTTCTGGGCCTCATCCTCGATTCTAATGTGCAGCCAAGGTTGAGAACCACTGCTTTAAAGAGTCTGGTTTTGCCTTCTCCCCAGCCTTCCAGAGCAGCTGCTAGCATTTCCAGAAGCTCTGGCCCCCTCGCAGCCTGCCTCGGGTTGTGTGTAGACATCAGGAGCCCTGAAAAGGACTTGGCATGGAGGTGAATGCTGAGTCGAGTCAGGGAAGTGGAGGGGAGCAGAGTGGTGTCCCGGGGACCAGGGTGGGGACAGGGGCAGGGGCATTGCTAAAGGACCCCAGTATCGACTTCTAATGTGCTGACGCTCACAATCCTCAAGCCATTAACCATTTTCTAAGCATCGACTCTGTTCACGGAGAGATTCCTGGACCTGAAACCAGAGGCCTGGGTTTGGACCCCCAGCCCTGGCTTCCTGCTGTGTGCCTGAGCCAGGTACTCACCTCTGGGAGTTTCAGTTGCCTGGACTGTAAGCAAAGGAAATGACAGTTCCTCCCTCGACGTTGTGACGAGGAGCACCTGTGTGGTGTGTGCCCAAGCCCCAGGTGGGGACCCAGTCAGTGCTGCAGAATCAACACCTGGCTTTCAGGAGGTAAGACTCCTCTTCCCCAACAGATTATCAAAGTGTCTCCTCTATTGTGTTAGTTTTCCAGGTGCTTGTAAAAACGTACCACAACTGGGTGGCTTTACACCACAGACATTTATTCTCTCCCAGGTCTGGAGGCCAGAAGCCTGAAATCAAGGTGTCAGCAGGGTTGGTTCCTCCTGGAGCTTTAGGGACGGTCGGTTCCGGGCCCCTCTCAGATTCTGCTGCTTGCCAGCATCTTGATGTCCCTTAGCTTGTGGCTGCATTTTCACGTGGACACCTTACTTCAGGATATCTGTGTTCAAATTTTACTTTTTTTAAAAATATATTTGTATTGATTTCAGAGAGGAAGGAGAGGGAGAGAGAGATGGAAACATCAACGATGAGAGAGAATCACTGATTGGCTGCCTCCTGCACCCCCGCTATGGGGGATCCAGCCTGCAACCCAGGCATGTGCCCTGACTGGGAACTGAACTGCGACCTCCTGGTTCATAGGTTGATGCTCAACCACTGAGCCACACCAGCTGGGCTCACCTTTCTTATAAGGAGGCCAGACATTGTAGTAGGACCTCAACTTGATTACACCTGCAAACACCGTATTTTCCAATAAGGCTGCATTCACAGGCACCAGGACTTAGGGCTTCAACATATCTCATCGGGGTGGTGTGAGGGGGACACAATTCAACCAAGTGTACTCTTCTGGAGAGAGGTGGGAGCACCTGCCGCTGTGTGTGCAGGTGGTGCCCTCTGCACAGGTCCGTGCCCACTCACCAGTCTTGAAGGGTTCCTGACCACTGTAACCGGTGATGTCATCCCCACGGCCCCCAAAGGTCTCAGTTCCTGCTAAGTGTTTCACTGTCAGATCCCACCAACTCGCTGGGCCCTTAAATGTAGGGGCTTTTAGAGTTGTCTGTGACCGGGTCAGAGTCTCCTGAAAGGGTCCAAAATATCAGCACGAAATCACTCAACCAGCCAACAACCTGCTGAGCAGCACCGGTGTGCCAAGCTCGGTGCCCAGCACTGGGAGTTGGTACAGAAAAGACAGCAGAGGCTTCTGTCCTGGGGGAGGGGGGAGGCACCAGAGGACTGCGGGGGCTGGGGGCCAGGGACGCCTTCCCCCAAGGAAGGGGTGTTTCAGCAGGGCCCGAAGGACTGGAGGACTCAGGAGCTACACGTGGGGGAGGCTTGTAGAAAGCTCCGCCCTTTCGGGATACTGTGCCTGGGAGGGGGGCCTGGTGAGGCAGCACAGAGCCCGGTGGGCTAAGGGTGGGTCTCAGTCGCCCATGAAGCACATGATTTGTTTCAGCAGCACCTGGTGTGGGGCTAGGTGCTGGGCTGTGAAGGTGAGCAAAGCCGACCCGCCCCCCATCCCCGTGACACAGGAGCGTCTAGGATGCTGGATGGGAGAGGCTCCTCCTGGCTGCACAGGTGCATCCTGGGGGAATGTGAAGCCACGTGGGTACAGGCGGACCCCGGAGCCATTGCAGGCTCGGTCCAGGCCGTGGCACTTAAGCGAGCATCACAGGAAAGCGCGCTGTAACCTTATTGATGGCGGAGGGTCTTGCCTTCAAGTTGTGGAAACACAACATCTGAGAAGCACAGGAAAGGAGGTGCACCTGTGTGTATGGGGACCCAGCCCAGCGCTGTGGATTCGGGGGTGTGGCGGGGCTGGACACTTTTGTGGGGGCTTTTTTGTTTGTTGTTCTCAAAGTCCCCAGGTGATTCCAGGGGTGAGAATCACCGGTGCAGACTCACTCCTGAAACCATTTGGGGAGTCAGGGGAGAGCAGCTGAGGATGGAGGAGGAGGAGGGGCCAGGTGAGGGAGGTTGGGGAGGGCGCTGGAGCAGGAACAGAAGGTGCAAAGGCCTTAGAGAACCAGCAGGAGAAGAGCAGGACCGCCCGCTGCGGAAGGATCTTAGCCTGGGAGCCGCCGGCTCAGAGCGGAGATTCAGAGCAGCAGGCGCCAGGTAGGTTGCTGAGGCGAGAGATGAAGGCAGCCTGCACTCAGGTAAGACCTGGTTTTATTGTTTCTTTGCTGAGTGGGACGAGGAGTTGGAATCACTGGGTGTTGGTGGTCACTTGGGCAGGGGAGCCAGGCTTCTCTCAGCCCTCCTGGGAGGTCTCCGGCCACCCGTCTCCAGGAAACGACTCGCTACAGCCACGAGTGGGAAAGTTATTCCTCCAGCTCCTCACCTTCAGGCCTCAGCGCAGCAGGCCAGCACCCTAGCCCTTGTCGGGTCCAGAGACCCATGGTCAGCAGGGATGCTTGGTGGTCAGCAGGATGGTCGGTGGCAAAACAGAGGGGTGTTTGGTGGTCAGCAGGAGGATGGTCGGTGGTCAGCAGGAGGATGGTCGGTGGTCAGCAGGAGGATGGTCGGTGGTCAGCAGGGGGTGCTCAGTGAGGGTCAAGGCAGGTTCCCCTCCAGTCGGTCCATCTGGGTGTCTGTGCTGACTTTGGAGCCCTGGGAACTGGCATGATGCCGCCCCCTCGGAGCCCCTCCCCCCTGCTTGGCCCGCAGGAGGCTGCGAGGAGGTGGTGCGTGTTAGATTTTACCGATTTAGGGTTTGCTGCGTGCCGGGCAGTGTTCTAAGTGCTTGCATTGTTTTGTGTCATTTAGTCCTCAGACAACCATGAGGTGGGTGGTAGGAGTATCCCCATTTTCCAGATGAGGAAACTCACTGCCACAGGTGACCTAACTGGCCGCAGGTCACCCAGGATCCACACTCGGGTGCCGGGGTGGGGAAGCATCATCCCAGAGCCGCAACCGGCTCCCCCAGGAGTGGCTGCTCAGGCTGGGGAGGCCCTGCAGCAGGGAAGACTTCAGGGAGAAGGCAGCCACGTGCTGAGCCTGAAGCCTGGGGGGCTCCCCGGGGGCTGAGGGGCTGTCAGAGGGCCTGGCAGGGCACAGTGGGCGCAGTAGTGTGGAAGTGGGAACTCGTGTGCCCTGT